AGTACGAGGTGTGGAGGGACCGAGTTGCTAGGGGCACATGCATGAACTGTGGCAACTATGGCCACACGTCTAGAACATGTCGAGGCAAGAAAGTCTTGACGAGGGTAGCCTCACGAACAGTAGTGGGACTATCTTCGAACTCTGGCGGTGCTTCTGCGAGCACTTCGCAGGAAAACACCTCGGGCCAGTAGGAGTTTTAGCCGCTCTTACTCACGCTGAAGTGGTTACGTTGCCTTCCCCACTTCAGGCGTTGGCCAAGGCTAGTGACCCACGTATCGCCCCGTGGACACATTCAGACCCACCGACGCACTGTTCGAGAGATGTGTCTGAGGCCCTAGAAGAGTTAGAGACTGAGTGGTCAGGGAAGGACCCCAGGGACTCTTGGGCGATGATAAGTAGAGGTCCCAAGGGTGAACATTTCGTGGTAGAGGTTGATGTAGGTGGCCGCAAGGTTGGCACCTTCGCAGACATAGGCTCTACACAAAACTTCATCAGTCGTGCTTGTGTGGACAGACTGCGCTTAGGGGACCAAGTGCAGCGGCTTAGCAGAACTGTAGCTTCTACGCTAGCCAACAAGCACCAAATGTTGGTAAAAGACTACGTCAAGGACGTAGTCTGTACCTTCTCCTATGGAGGAGGGGAAGTGAGCCATAAAATCTCCTTCCTGGTTAGCGACGAACTGCCCTTTGACATGCTCCTAGGTATGTACTACCTCGAGGTCGCGCAACCGCAGTTTGACTGGGATAGAAAGGTATTGATTCACAAATTGCCCAACGATAGATCTGTGAGATTGCAAAAGTTCAAAGCTAGCAGTCTGATAGAAAACTACGGGTGCATGCGTGCATCAATCTTCTATAATTATTATAAGCAGAATCACGACGAGGGCATGTATCTAGTATTTGTCTCTCAGAAAGGGGAGGCCGTAAAAACACCCCCAGAGATAGAATCAGTCGTCGCACAATATTCAGACCTTTTTGAGGAGCCCACAGGCGTGGTAGAAAGGGAGGTTGTCCATGCAATAGAGGTTGTTCCAGGTAGTAAGGTACCTAGAGGACGAATCTATAGGATGTCTCCTGCGGAGTTAGATGAGCTCCGCCGCCAACTCAAGGAGTTCACAAAGAAGGGATGGATTCGGCCTAGTACCTCCCCTTACGGCGCTCTAGTCCTATTCGTACCGAAGAAGGGAGGTACCTTGAGGATGTGCATTGACTATAGGGGCCTCAATGCCATCACCGTTAAGAACGTGGAGCCCCTACCCCACATCGACGACCTCTTGGATAGAGTGCAGGGATGCCGATACTTCACAAAGATAGATCTGAAGTCCGGATACCATCAAATTGCCATTAGGCCTGAGGATCAGCACAAAACCGCATTTCAGACCAGGTACGGTCTGTACGAGTTTGTGGTGATGCCCTTTGGACTATGCAATGCACCTGGTACGTTCCAGCACACGATGAACAGGATTTTTCATGACTACTTGTACAAGTTTATCGTCGTGTACCTCGACGATATTCTCATCTTTAGTAGGACTATAGAGGAGCACGCTGAGCACTTGAAAACAATGCTAGATCTCCTAAGATAGCACCAATACAAGGTTAACTTGGAAAAATGCGAATTTGGTCGCACCAAGATCTTGTACTTAGGTCATGAAATTTCAGCAGATGGACTGAGGCCGGATGATGCCAAGGTGGCCAGCATACGTGACTGGCCCAGACCTCAGACTGTTACTGAGGTTAGATTGTTTTTGGGGATGACGGGCTACTATCGTCCGTTCGTGAAGAACTATAGTACTATAGTTTCCCCATTAACAGATCTAACTCGACTTGACACCCCTTGGGAGTGGACTGAAGAGTGTGAGGCGGCCTTCAGGAAACTGAAGTATGCCCTCACACACTATGAGGTTCTTAAACTTCCTGATCCTGATAAGTCATTTGTCGTGACCACAGACGCCAGCCAATATGGCATAGGCGCGGTCCTTGCGCAAAAGGAGGGGCCCAAGTTGAGACATATCGAGTATATGAGCAAAAAAATGCCATCTCAAAACCTAGCTAAGTCCACTTATGAGCGTGAGCTCTATGCCTTGTATAGAGCGTTGATACATTGGAGACACTATCTCCTTGGCAGATTCTTCTATGTAAGATCTGACCATGAGACCTTGCGTTGGATCAAGACACAACCAGTACTCTCTGACGCACTCAAGCGATGGATTCAAGTGATAGACATGTATGACTATCAACTTGATCCAATCAAGGGAGAGTACAACAAAGTGGCTGATTAGTTATCTCGTCGGGCGGATTATCTGGGCGCACTAGTGACTGAATTTGGCATATCTAGCGACTTGACTTAACCATTGGTGGATGCCTATCAGCAAGGTCCAGTGATGTCTGAGATAATTCGTAGGTTCCGAGCAAAGTACAAAAAGACTTTGGACTAATTTACGATTGTAGACGGCTTGCTGTTTCTTGAAAAGGCAGGGAATAAAAGATTGTGTGTTCCCAGTAGCGAGTCTTTGCGTAGTTTATTTTTAGGAGAATGCCATGATGCAACTGGTAATTTTGGATACAAAAAGACATCTGCAAATCTAGTACAAAGATTCTGGTGGCCTTCTATAATGCAAGATGCAAAACGATATGTGGAAACCTACCACGTTTGCCAAAGGGACAAACCAAGGACACAGGCTCCGCTTGGGCTGATCAAGCCCTTGCCGATTCCTGAAGGACCAGGCCAGAGTGTATCTATGATTTCATGGATACCCTTGTGACCAGCAGGTCTAGAAAGAGACACATCTTCGTTATAGTGGATCGTTTTTCTAAGTATGCAAGACTGATCGCTATGCTTGAAACTGCCAAAACGGACTATGTCATCAAACTCTTCATGGCCAACTGGGTAAGGGATTTCGGTCTACATCTATAGTCAGTGACAGAGATGTGAGATTCACAAGTAAACTGTGGCAATCAACTGCTGAACAAATGGGAACAAAACTCCAAATGACGTCAGGGAATCACCCTGAGTCGAATGGCCAGGCAGAACAGATGAACCGAGTAGTACAGCACCTGCTTAGGCATTATTTCAAGCCGAGTCAGGACGACTGGGATGAGAAATTACCACTCGTTGCCAGCCTGTACAATAATGCTGTGCATGGTACTACAGGTACGTCTCCCAACCAACTGCATCTTGGTTGGAAGCCCCAAACTGCTCTTGACTTTCTGCTACTGAAAAGAGAACCTACTGCAGCACCCGGCAGCATAGAGTTTGCTGTAAACTATGAGCAGATGCTGCTGCAAGCCGTTGAACATATTAGGAAATCTCAGGAAGCAATGATTGCATCCGAGAACAAGCATAGACGGCCCTCTAACTTTCAGGTAGGAGACAGAGTCTGGGTTAAGTCTGCTGAGCTAGGTCAAGAGTTCGGTATATCCCGTCAACTAATGCCACAATACTTTGGGCCCTGGGAGATCCTAGATATTGTAGGAGATCAACCGGATGGGCCTTCTTACGTGATTCATATCCCACCTCACTTACATACATACCCTGTTTTCCATGCTTTTAAGTTGGCACCTTTCGCTTCTACAGAGCAGTTTCCCTCAAGGAGATCAATGCTGCCCCCAACCATGGATGGCAAGGTGGACATCGACCAGATCGTGGAACATCGAGTAATGCCTGTTCCTCGACCATCAGGCAGAGGGAGCCCTCCTAAACCGAGAATGCAGTATCGTGTGAGCTTCAGACATCATCTTGATCCCAAGGAAGATCGCTGGTTCACACGAGAAGAACTTCTGAGAACAGCACCTCAAGTGATTGCAGGCTATGAAAGAAAACTGAAAGGGAAGATGCCTGCAGAATAAGAGACTTCTCAGAGGACTAACGAAGTAATGGAGGAGGGAATGCGAGGATCTGCGTCCTCGGCAGGCCTAAGGGGCCCCGGTTACAGTGGTGCCCACCCTAAGTAAAGGCGGGCCTAACATTTCACAAGAGGCCTTTGACTGTCAATTTCATATTTGGGGTACAGGCAGTTGCAACGCGCCAGCTGGTTGAGAGAAACACAGGCCGGGCAACAAAGACATTTCCACGGCCTACCAGGCCTTTCCAAAGAATGCAGGCCCTGGGCGTGAATCGCAGCCTCATACACTGACAGTTGGGAGGCCCAATCGAACGAGGCCCAGTAGCTGCAGGGCCAAAGGCAGCATCCTGGGGCCTTCCGGAAGCTTCTGGGCCCAGGCCAGTGCAGCCAGGCTGCGCGAGCAGGCCAGCTCTTTCCATAAAGGAAAGAGCTCTCCCCTGGCAGCATCATTCAGGCAATCGCATGCTAGCGGCAGCGCTGCTGGAGCAATTGCTCGTGGGCTGCTGCTGTTCGCTGAGAGGTGAGGTGCAGCACGTGCAGTCGTGCAGGGAAGCAGGGCACTGCTGAGGGCAGCGCCATAGCCCAGCCACCATAGCTGGTGGGCTTGGACTACAGTGAGGCGCATGAGTGGTCTTCGGGTGTAAGGGAGGACATG